TGGATGCGAAAAGGCAATGTACTCCCTCTTTGTGAATCTATTGGGTATGTACTTACTCGAATTTGTAATTACGGTAAAAAGGTTTTATCAGGCCCTCACTGTTCAAAGACTAGGCAGAACTGGGTATAAAAGTCTGTCCGTTTAAAAGTAAACTTTGAACACAAGAAATAGTTAGTTGTGTTGTATTTGATGCGATTACTTTCCAAGACCAGAAGTTTTTTTTTTATGTAATAGGTCGGCAAACGAGCCGACGGATTACCTGATGGTAAGCAATCAGCGCCGCCCATCCGAGTGTCCATCACTCGCAACGGAGGAGTTACGAGTGCGTTGCCGACCTTTTAGGGATTAGGGATTTGGAGATTTAGGGATTGAGGAGGGATTGGGGAAGGGGAAGGATTGGGCCTCTGGTAACCTCATTCACACACTCACTCACATTCGTGCCGAAGCATGGCTCTCCCACTCTGAAGTCTGAAGAACTGAGTCCAAGTAGTTCTTATTTTTTTTATTTACTACTTGTTCTTTTTTCAAATTTTGTCGTAAAATAAACGTAAAGCATCCATATGTTTGTAGGAATTCTAATTAGAGACAAATAGCAAACACATACATTTATAAAATAAACAAACACGAAGAAATTAATAGAGCAATTTAAATAATTTTATTAGGGCTGTCCAAATACAAAGCGGGTTCGGTGCAGCGACAACTGCAGGGCGGACGCATGAGCCCTCTTTGTATGCTAATAGCCTGTGTTTTAGCACAATAGGGCTGCCTCATAAATACTACACGGTCACTAAACTTTATGTTCCTGACTGTCTTTTTAAATGTCCTTAATAATTGTTTCCTTTTTTGTTTTTAATTGTGTAGTTCTTTTTTTTATTTTTAGGCGGGCTTATTGAAGGTCAGGGTTGTGGGAAATTGAAGAACTGTTGGTTTAGTCATCAGTAAATGCATAAAAATATCAAATGAAGCGTATTAATATTATCATACATACTTAACACTTTATTTCATTAGATGAACATTGATTTCTTACGCTTGTAATTGAGTTATGGACTGGTTGGTTATGGAATGGTTTTTCTTAAGGAAACATGAAACGCGGTGCTTGGTTTATAAAGAAACCTTAATTAAGCTCTCTTTCTCTCTCTCACTTTTACTTTGCTGTGGCAAACATGACCCACGATGATCTCATAATCTTCTACCTAAAAATTACATTGTGGAATGCAATAAATCATTGAGTATTGAGTATTTATGCCAAGCTTGGTTACTTTTAATAAAGCAATGATTTTTGCCAGTTTATAAATATGTGGCTGGTCTACATCGCTTAGAGTTTACGTTTTTGATTTTGAATTGTAGGTTGTTTTTTACACAATAAATTATTTGGAATGACAGAAGTAGCTATTCTATACGAACAGAAGAAATTTTTGATAGGTTATATATATATATTATATATATAGAGGTTATATATATATATATATATATATATATAACCTCAGAATACACATTAATTTCAGAGTTTGTGACATTAGTTATCGATAAGTAAAAAACGAGTTCAAACTTTCTAATTTAAATTGTTCTTTATATTATTAATTACGTGGCAGCCCTACTTTCTGCCGCCTTTTATGCGAACTAGGATTGGTTACATATGAATTTTCGTTATTTTGAATGCGTACAGTAGAACAATATCAATGCATATTTGCCTTTTATTTTGTGTTCATTTCTTTTTTAGTTATTGTGGTTTTATGGTTACGCATTTAATATACCTATATAATAGGTATGAAGGACTTAATTGCAGTTGTAGCTAGAAGAATTAAATTAACTAATTGTTATAAAGTTACTATAGAGGACGCACTTTGACTGTCTTATTGAGTTACTAGCTGTGACCTGCGGTTTCATCCTGACACGTGGTAACTTTTTTCGTTGTTGACGGACAAGTAGTTTCAGACTCTATTCAATGCGAACAAACAAACAATCAAATCAGTCCTTTTCAGAATATTTGTCTAGACATACATGTCATGTTACGTACCAGTAATATAGGTAAGTATATGTCGAGTAACTAATACTAAGGGAATACATAGATCACGTAGTGATACTTCGTATTCTGATCGCGTAGTTTTGGTGGTATTTATGGCTTCTAGTCATGTTAGGTAGTCTAAGGTTCTCAATAAACATGGACCACGGTTTACTTCGAAGAAGATTTATTATCAAAATTACTCGTAAAACGTATAGGTACTCTTTTGGTAAAATGTTTAAGAGACTGTCTAATGTTAGTTAGGTTGATATATAGAGCCAGCGGTGGATGGCTGAATGCTGAACGTTATTTCAATAGCAATAAGGTTTAACATAATATACATACATACATATGGATTATGTTTGAACTTCAGTCACCTCATTAACACTGGTACAATGAAACTTAATGTTCTAATTAGCAAAACAAAATAAAATACACAATAAAAAAGTAAAAACAATTAAAGTCATACTACTAAAACAACAAATATTAATGAAAATCTATTCATCTCACGGTAAACTGGTTAACTGATTAATTTTGTACGTCTTGGTGAATAATGTAGACACACTAGATATCATTAAAGCTAGACACGTAGCTAATCAAATTAATCATGGGGTTTGATAGCGTTATATGTGATTTAAGGGGTCATATCGAACGGTACGTGAGCCGGTTCTCGATCACAATTAGAACGCCTTTGAAAACATCCCACACATACACAAGTAAGTTACCATTTAACTTTATCAAATAATATGTTTTGAATATTTGACAACAGTTAGTTACACGGAAAATACACCTTAAAATGTTTTATTCTAGTATTTTGAAACAGAAAATGAACTTAAAATGTAAACTTCCCTTCAAATCTTCACCAATTTGACGCAAGATTGATTCAATTGAGTTCCGCCATTTCCATTTTGTATGCAACCGGATAATACTTGAAGAGTTTCTCTTCGATGTCCCCACCATCATAACGAGATCTCTTACGGCTCTAACCGTACAAACAGACACAACATTCGAATACTAGTAACTAGTGATTGTTGGAGTTCTTGCTCAGTTGGGTGCTTTCATGTCTCTTGACGTTTGAGAAGCCGAGAATCGCCCAAAGCGGACCCCTTTTTAGGGCGTGAAATTGAATCTTGTTGCGGGTGGAGGGTGCACAGAAAACTTAAATATTTAAGGGGAAATTACCATCTAGAGAGGCAGCCCGACGATTCAGAGGTAAGGTATTAATTTTACGATCCCCATTGTAACCGTCGACGAGGATGTATGAACTCGTTAAGTTCTAACAGTCGTTTGTAGACAGGATTCAGCTTTATGGTCGAGGAGGGTGTTTAAGAGTTGACTTTCACAGTGCAGTTTGAATTAATTAAAATTAGCGAGATTTCGTGGGTGTTACACATTTCCCTTGTGTGCGACACAGCTGATGAGATTGCGTGGTCGCTCGTAAAAAGTTTAAATCAGATTGTGTGAGAGTGCCCGGAAAAGTTTTTCATAAGCCGTATTAACTTATAAACTGCGAATGTTCCGTGCCAGCTGATGAGCTCGCCATAAAGTGATTTGTTAATTCCAAAACTTTTCAAAGGCATTTTATTTGGGTTTTTCCCTCTTCTATTTTTGTAACTTTCATCGCCATTATTTCAATGTTGGTTTCAATTAGTGCGTTAATATCTCAAGCTCCGCCCTTTTTGTTGATTCCATTATCAATATCAAGTTTAGAAATTTCGAGTTTGGCAGCAACTCGTTAATTTGGTATGGTATCGATACCTTTGTCTTTATCCGGGAACAGGGACCTAGTGTAAGGGGGGACACGTTCCAAGGGATCTGCGGTTCTATCCCGGGGGAAGTCAATTTCATTAATACTGCGGTTGGCACCCTTCTAGGGAGGCGTACATTTTTAAACATATTAACTGTAATTGAATACCTGCTTTCTGTGCAATGAATTAAGATTAAGGTGTCTTGGTCCAGGTTTTTTCCTGTTGGGGCTATTTATTAATTACTTAGGCAAAAGTAGAAAGTTTCCTTTGAAATATAGCTAAAGTTTATCTTCAATGATAGCATGAGCATGTGGGCGGTGCGGCGCTCTGACATTTTATTTAATTAGTGTGTTATTTTCAAGCTAAAATTGAGCTAAAATGATGTGTAGGTATTTTAAAAGTTCGTTAATTATTTATGTAGGTATATACACAAACAACAGGTAAACACAGTTATGGAATGGATGGAAATAAATTTTGTCGTTGGTAGTTTTATAATGATAAGTGTGTCATTATATTTTTTGAGAAAACCAATTAAATATTTTTAGCCATCTATGTTCTCTGTGTTTCAGTCTCTTTCGTTATAATATATGACACACATTTTTTAAAGCTGATAAAAGTTTCTTTACCAATAAATAATCATTTAAAGGGTGCCAATAAAATTCTTTTCTTGAATATGAGTACCTAAGTACATGTTTTAGTTGATTGAGAAATAAATATATAAATACAAATAAACAATTTTAAATTAAATTATTCTATAAAAACAGAAGTTCTTATTGCAACGTTAAAAATAAACAATAAATTACTGGAGGGTTCTCATTACGGATCCCTAATAAGACGCCGTATACATATTTCTTCTTAGAAAAGTTAATAAGTTTCTTCTGTTTATTATTCTAGGCGGGCCACTTGCTGCCACAAAAACATATTTTTCGCATAAAGAAAATATGGAGGCTTAAAAAGAGTTCGAATTTTTTGTGATGTAATCTTAAGAGATTACCTTGAAATTCTTTCGGAGGGGAAACGGAGGAAAGAAAATTATTTTACAGTTGTTTTTATTTGCAAAATTTATTATAAAATAAACAGGTTTCGGTAGAGTTTGATACTGCTAATAGTTTACCTATAGCTGCTGTAATAGATTATTTCAATGCTTGAAGATAAGACTTCTTACGTTATCATGTGGTCAGCGTTGAGATTATATGATTGGACATTGAAATAATCATTTCAAGATATCGGCGAGTAATAGGTAGCCGAATAGTACCAAATATCTATTTCAGTTTTTTAATAGGTGTGCTCTATGATAGACGTGATGGCTGCAAAATATATTATTTTGTTCTCCGCGTGCTTTGTGCTAGCCTTAACTGAAGATAGTGGATTGCAAACAGTTAATGGAAGAATTAAGATCACTGTAGGTACCACGGCAGGTTGTTCTGACACAGTAAGTTTTATTAACAATCAGCTGATACCAACTGTTGAAGCATATGGAGATTTTCTTGATATTGAATTTGTACCGTGGGGGAAGACAAGTTGGGTAGACAACGAAATCTCATGTCAATTTGGTGTCCCCGACTGTTGGGCCAATCGTCTACACAGATGCGTTCTCGACAAACTGAAGAATAATCAAGCCGCCCAGCTTCACTACATGGCTTGCGAGTTTTCCTCGCCACGCCCTTCATATCTGCGAGGAACTTATCTCTGTGTTCAAGCTGTCGGCTTAAATTTGCTCGATGTTGACTACTGTGTCGCTAATCCTAAAGACAATTTGGATAGAGAAGCTGCAGCGGCTGCTTTGGAGCCAATAGCAGCAACGAACTTTATTCCATACGTTATATTCAATGACAAATTCAATATGGAACTTCACCAGAACGGTTATAGAAGACTGGCGAGTTTGGTCTGTTTTGCTCTGGCGGAGGATCCAAGTACTGGGGTAACTAACTGTTCTATATAAAATAATTTATTTCAACTTAATATTGCGAAAGCAAAGAAAAAAGAGAAAGAAGAGATTTTGTAATTTAAGTCTTAGTTTTGACCACGTTTAAATGACAAACATGTATAATTGATTAATCGTCGTCACATTGTTATGAATAATGACTCAGTGAAATTTTATGTATTATAGGGATAGCATTTTAAAATCGGGATTTATACCAATCGAATTGTAATGAAAAGAAAATCAATATACTGATATGAAACAAATTATGTCAAAGTTTATACTACATCTGGTATTTGAAAATGTTTGTGATAAGTTTTGCAATAAATAACAATATTTTGTTGAATTTTTATCATATTAATTTATCGAAATTTTGATTATTAAATTAATATTGTTGGGTCAATGAAATCACTGTTTTGTGTGAAACGATTGTCCTCTATCGGTTACCATTCGTCACAGGTGTATCGAATTTAGTTATTTTGTCCTGTAACAAAATCATCTGATTTATTTCATCACGTCATGCTTCTTGCAACTTTGCGAGCAAGTAACAATGTGACTTTTTCGGAATAAATTTTCCTTTCGAAATTTGTTAAGGCAACGCAGCAAACACACGGAGACTGAATATAGCGAGGAAATCTGCCTAAGAGTTTGTAATTATGAGTCTAAAATCGCCAATCCATTTTAAGCTATAGTGGTGATTAGTGGTCATTCCTTACCTGTACAAGAAAGAAATCTATAAAAATTGTGTAGGTACAGAAAAAAAATTGCAACTCATTGTTACATATAATAAGGTCTTCTCGTTTATTTTATATTACCTACCTGTGTACATTTCTATAACTATTTTTGATAAATAAACTCTTGTTATTATTTTAATATTTGTCTTCACTTAGCTGTGGGCACTTATAGACTGATGATGATTATTTTTAAGAAGTTATTCATGTCCCTGAAATTCGCCCAACTTAAATGTTTTAGGTTTTATAGTTGTGTCTACTGTAGACTCTTGTTTTGGAATTTTTTTTTATTTTTTTTTTAATAAAAACGTTGCCTCACTTCATGATTTTTTCCTGTGTCGTAGGCGCATTTACAAACATACGATTTCACACACACATGACACCTAGACCCGAAACAACAATTCGTGGATTACACAATGAGTTGTTCCATGCGGGAATCAGACCCGCGACACAAGCCAGTTGCCCAGTCATCGCGCCAACCGTGCTATCAGTCTAAGGTGTACTGATTCAGGGAATCTATTGTCAGATTGCTTTAGCCTGGCAATTAGAAGGAAAGATGTAATGTGAAGAAATGGATAACATGGTTTCAAAACTATGTATAGCCTGTTACCATGTAAAATAATAATTTGTAAAATAATGGGAAGAAGTCCATTCTTATCTTATCCGATGCGCTTAAACCTACTATGCGCTAACCGTGCAATTATTCTAGAATTGTGCGTAGTGAGTACTTGGTAGTTTTGTTATAGCGTAGGACATATTTCGATAACGAACTGAGTGACTATTTTTCAGTACATTGTACTTTATCATGCACGGATCTAGATTCCGTATTATGTAAGGACAAATAAAAATTCAATTGGACTTTACTCAATCCGAAATTCAAATTAGGTAGTACATGCATAATATATCAAAAAATAGAAAATTACTTACTAAAATAATTGAACATCAAAATAAATTAAAAATATTTGAAATTATTTCAATCTTATCAATGTTATCGATAACTCAGATAGCAATAGCAGCTACAGGGTGTATTTTTACTCTAATTTTTTTTAACGTAATATTTTTCAAAGTACATCGTACTTTATTACATTAACCATGCAATATTAACAGTTTGTGTTTTGTCGTGCGAGTTAGGTTACCGGAGGCCCAATCCTAGCCTTCTTCCAATTCCTCGAACTCCAAAATCCTTATACTCAAAAAGCCGGCAACATACTCGTAACCTCCAGTGTTCCAGGCGATCATGTGCACCGATTGCTTACCATCAGGTAGAGATATGTCTTGTTTGCCATCTTATAACATAAAAAAAATTGCTCATCGTCACGTGCATCGTGGGTACAATAGGCACGCAATACACCGGATGCACTCCCGATAAAATGAGTAAACTCTTCAACTCACGTGACTTATTTAGGTAAGCTGGTTGGTTTTGATAGGTAAGTGCTCTCAAAGTGTCTAGTAAATGCGTTTACAGATCCAGAACAGATGTTTTGTGCGGCAATCAACCTCACGACACTTTGCTCGGCAGCTATTTGCCCAGCAAAATCTGTGTAAGTAGTGTAAGTGCTAATTATCATTAGGTAAATTAAACCAAGCTGAAGTGGCAGTAGGTACGGCAAAGTCTGTAGACCATCACAGATGGGACCCAACAAGGCCGCCGTTCCAGCCGGGGGTACCACGACTTAGAGCAAGAAAAGGAACGGGTGTTTTAAGTCAATAAGAGTCTGACAGAGAGGTAATTTTGTGACTTTCCCTCTCAAAAAAAAAGCATGCATGGAGGTCACTTCCAATCCGCCGATTTGGCAGTCGTTGTGTAACGTCTTTCTCCAGCAATCGAAGTGCTTTGCTGATGATGTCGAATTTAAACCACGTTATAAATTGCATTGCCCCTGTATATTATTTTTAGATAATGCAGATATAATACCACATTAATAAAGTATAAATAATCACATGAGGTATCAGACTTTAAAAGAAATATCCCCAAAAACTCAGTATTTGTACATTTGCAATTCAAAACAGACGCAATGGCGGTAAAATATATAATTTTGTTTTCCGCTTGCTTTATGCTCGCATTATCTGAAAATAGTGGATTGCAAACAGTGAATGGTAGGATAAAGGTCACCGTGGGTACTTCAGCAGGAACATCTGACATTCGAAGTTTCATTAACAACCAGCTGATGCCAGCAGTCGAAGTGTATGGACAGTTTCTTGACATCGAATTCGTTCCGTGGGGAAGGACAACATGGGCAAATAACGTTATCGAGTGTGATCATGGTGTTGCCGACTGTTGGGCCAATCGTCTACACAGATGCGTTCTCGACAAGCTGAAAGGCAATCAAGCTGCCCAACTCCACTATATGTCTTGTGAGTTTTCCCATCCATACCCATCATTCGGGCAAGGATCCTATCTCTGTGTTCAAGCAGTTGGTTTAAATCTGCTCGATGTTGATTACTGTGTCGCTAATCCTGGAGACGATTTGGATAGAGCAGCTTATACGGCTGCCTCCGAGCCTATGAAGCAATTACAATTCATTCCATATATTGTTTTTAATGACCAAATCAATGTAGAACTTCACGAGCAAGGTTTAATCAGGCTTCCAAACTTGATCTGTTCGGCTTTATCGGAAGACTCGACCACCGGTGTCACCAGCTGCTATATATAAAGACCACTCCTCAAGAAACAAGTGCGATATCAGAGATCACTTCTTAAATCGACAGATTGCGTTTTCTTATCTTATTAGCCCATGCTGGTGCTAGATTTAGACAAAATGTCCAACTTTCGCTCGTGTTTTAATCTACAAACTTGTGAAATTGAACAATCGTCGAGTGAGATATGGCTAATAACTCTGTAAAATGTTTTATGATAACCAGTGACACTGTAACGATAGTGTTCTAGTGAAAAATGTTTTTGATATCGTTGTAATAAATGATAACAATATAATGTCATAATTTATAGTGATTATTTTAATTGTTATTATTTTGTTATACCTAGTGTATCGATAAAAGAAAATAAAATTCCATAAAAATCTTGATCTAGATATTAAAATAAAAATAGTGTTTTGTCTTATATATTTATGTGATTTTGTCATCAACTACTGCATAGAGTGTCATACTTATAATCCTATTGTGGAGTAGTTTTTTTCAATTCCCAAATTTTAGTTTAAGATCCGAACCTAGACAGTACCCAGAAATTTAACTCACGTTACGTGTGTGTGTATGTATACCTATGACATTGTTTAGGTATCTACAAATAAGGAAACGATTCAGTGTATAGTTACAACTATATTCGTAAGTTGAAAATGGTGAAGAAAGTGAAAACTTAAATGTCTTTCTGCCTTTATTTAGGTATTATTGATCTAGGGCCAAAAAATGGTTGGATGCTGATATTTTATGAACCCAGTGACCTAGTTTCTTCTATTAAGCTTTTTTAAGGTTTCATTTAGAGGTAAAATTTAGTAGCATCTGCCAGAAGATATTAGGGAAAAGTAGCCTATGTGTTACTGAATCAATTTTAGGAGTGTATTTTGTGTGACTCGTTATTTTATTTTGTAAATGGTTTGCAAACGATCGCACTAACTGCTTGTCAGTGCATTGTACAGCGGACATTGTAGTGATACCATGAAATTGCAAGAAATAGGACTTTGCAAGCAGTGGCGGGGCAAGCAAAATTTTAATGTGGGCAAGACAGATTTTGCCAAGGCCCTTTTCTATGGTGACCTGAAAAGGAAAAATAAAAATTCTGGAGGCGCGAGGCCCCCTGTACCCCGAGGCCGTGGGCGGTGGCCCATGTCGCTCACGCCTTGCACCGCCTCTGTTTGCACGACTACTATTAAAACGTTAAGATTGTTAGTTTAAGATTATACTAAATAGACCTTTTTAACTTCATTTAAAAATAGATAAAGTGGAATCCCACCTGTAATTGGAAACTACCTGGAAGCTACCGGTGGTAAGGACTCTCTTAAGGACAATACGCGCCGTGTCTAGAAGTACCGTTTTCAACCATCTAACGTAAGCCTACTCAAGTATTGGTCGAGGCTTTTATCCTCAAAGCCATTGGCACACACGACTATTTTCACAATGATTGCTGGGTCTGCATCCTACATGTCGACAATCACATGAGCTAAATCAAGATATTTACTCGCTGTATCTTTTTCAGCTTTCATAAGTAGTTCGTGACATTAGACACACAATTGGAACCTTAGACTGCTAGTCAGTCGTAGAAGACCTCTTCTTGAGGGAGGTGTATCATCTAAGGACTTCTCCCACCCTGAGTGGGGTGGAAATTTCTGTTACGTGTGATTACGCTCGCAACCCTGGCTACCTCGTATAACCTTAACGAACAAGACACCACTTAACACTATTGATATTATAAATATGTTGAGAGATTATCTTAGGACATTATTCCGCTTCAATTACATAGGAAATGAGCTAGTACACAATAGATATTAGATGCCTATACATTTAATCAGACAATGTCGACGTATGGTGTAATCTTAATTAATCTGGTTTGGCTTACGGATTACATACGCACGCATTGATACACCGTGATAGCTGTTTGCCCAAGTCAATTAGCAGTGATTAAACAAATTAGTATCATGATTAAACATATTATTATTAATTTAGTAATGAAGACCACATACAATTTAATTGATTTAATACAATTAACTGCCTTAGAATTCCATGAATTTACCGATCATACGAGTATATACCTAAATAAAAAAAACCTGTGACTGTCTTATGCATAAAAATTGTTTCTAATACTGAGTTTTGTAAGTATTGAACGTACACTATGTAAATCGAATTATATGAAAAAAAGAACAGGTTACAAAAATCTTAACAATTTAGAGTCTGCCATCTGTATTTGAATAAACACAATTAGATTTTCTTATGACATAAGTGGGAAAATGTGCAGACAGATTACCTGATGGTAAGCAATCAGCGCCGCCCATGAACAATGGTACCAAAAGCAGACACTATAAGTGCGTTGGAGGAGCATAAGGATATTTGAGGATTGATGAAGCATAATGCCTCCCACAACTTCAATCACACGATAAAAAACAACGTAAGTGTTGCTTCACGCCGATTTTCTGTGAGGCCGTGGTATCACTCCGGTCAAGCCGGCCCATTCCTGCTAAAACATAGACCTCCCATACTTAAACAATAAATGTTGAATACCAAAAAATTAAAGACAGTCTTCAAATGCATATAAAAGCAAGGCACCCTACTACATTATTCCGCCATGGACGGCATCATGAGCCAATAATGCTGCACCATTAAGCGATTGAAAAATGTCATACACCACTTTGCAGCGCCGATGCGCTACATTAGCTACGGTTTGGAAAGGGCGCATATTCTATGAAAACCGCTGCCTTATGATGGAAACGCTTTAGAATTATGTCCCTGGGACATGTAGTAAAATGAACTGCGATATTTTCGCCAAAGGACATTTTTATTGTTGATTTCATGAACACTTTCAATAGTATGACTTTTGGTTCCGAATTTACTGGGGCTTTTTTGTGTGGGAAAAATCTTCAAATGAGTAGTCCCCGCCCAGGGTGGGGCAGGATTGCTGGCTAAAAACCCTCCCGTTCCATCTCCTAGGCCTTCTGCTCTAGGCCTAGGCCACGGTGCCTTATTGTGCTTGTCCCGCCACCCGGAATTTAATAGGGCTGGGAAGAGTATTATCATACCTAAAATTAATTGTTTTTACAATCGATTTTAACATTTTCATATTGTTATCTTTACTTTGTAGTTTTATCAAAGCCAGTCGTATAAGTAGATTAGACAATGAAGTAGACATCTATGAGTGGAAATCGTTAGTTTATACCTTTTTTGCTTCTTAACTTTCTTTATGTTTATCAGACAACTGTTTATCGAATTAACTCGACTTCAAGCTACGCCAGAGGCTCATATTCATGAGGAAAACTACGCTACACGGCACGATGAATGTCATACTGTCAATTCTACTTAACATAACATTGAGAAGTATAGTAAAAGTATTAAAATTTTAAATTAGATTGTTGACTATCTACTAACTCGCTTGAAAAAATTTACTATCTTACACAATCCTGTTCAATTCAGTAATTTAGCAGATGAGCACGTTAAAACCAACTCTTCCCCTTTTCATAAATATAAAATAAGTAATAAGTGTATATTTATTGTTAAAGTCGAATTTGCTACGAAAGGATCCCATAACACAACATTGTATATCACAGTATAAGCGCGGCTATTAGCCGTATTATGCAGAGCGGGTCGGTAGTTGTAACGGTTATTGAGTTGTCCATGCAGTTACCTATCGTTATTGGCGTTGTAACCGCTTACGTTATTGCTAAATGTTTACCCAGCCCCAATAGTGTTGCCGTGTTGACAAAATTTACCCTGTTGAAGGGCTTTTTGAATAGGCTTAGTTGCAAATTTCGATACGCGTTTTGGAACGAAGTTTATCTTAAATACGAGGTATAATGCTAGTTACATAAGTTTCATGGTTAATTATTATGTGTATATTATACTTCAGGTAATAATTAAGATTAAACTTTATGCAAATCCCAGGTATGTTATACATATTACCTAAAGCAGGATAAGGAATGGGGGTTTTTTAGTCAGTAAGAGTCTGACACTTCCTCTCGCCTCACCCTGGGCAAGAGAAGTCATTTGATGATTTTCCCCTCACAAAATTATAAATGTTATATTAGTGAATATATTGATTTTATTTTGCTTAAGGCAGAGTATATGTGAAACTCATTAAGGGCTAAAATAAATTTAGAATATTCTTTTGATAACAAAAAAACGATTTATGTCACTGAATAAAACGCTACACATTTTGTATTCAAATTCGTAAAAGTTCAAGTTCTTCTATATCATTATTCATGTCTCAATAAAACAGTACGATATTGGGAAGCAAAATATATTTTTATTAACATTCCCACAAAGATGCCCTCGGACTCTACGACAAGGACAGATGATTTCTTCAAACCATAAAAGAGGAATAGCAATACACTCAAGATGTAACAAACGAGTTTTGCCGTGGAAGTAGGCAGCTGAATAATTGAAGAAGTATGGTCCCTGGGCGTGTCGGATCGTCTAGCCGTTCGATCGATACTGGCCGAAATGTTACCTGTATACAATGAAGATTTTTACAGGAACACGAAAATGTTGCATACGTTATTCTGCAAGACTGTACCGCACTCCAATTTGTTATTTCATTTTCAACCTAGAATTCCGAGCGCTAAGGATGAATGTCGATTTAAATTTTATTTTGCTTCTGCAAAAATATTTTTATGGCGGCGATAATTGCGTCGATATCAATATCAGTGGTGTGCGACGACATATCTTGTGACAAACATTTCTTATCTTCACTACTATTGATAAACCGAACTACACAATCTTAGATTGAACCCAGGATATTGTAAGTATACCGGACCTTGGGCCTTGATCTTATAGCTGCTAATTATAATATAAGTATATCATTTATTTACTACTTATACTGAAAATACACCCTTGAATCATTAAAAAGTTATAGCTACTAAATTCTTTGTCTATTTTTTCTTAGGTGTGATCTCTGTTTCGATAACAGCCAACACTTTTTTGCTATTAAATGTCAACTCTAATTCAATTGTAATAAGGTGGTATGCACACTTAATTGAAAAATATAGGCCACTAAAATGTTCACCCTAGCCCTGAAGATAGAAACTGTATAATTAAATTACCATTTCTGGTAATAAACCGCTCAGCACGTGGCATTTTATTACTACATTTTGGAGACTTGATCATAATTTATTGCTATCTGTGAATTATCAAATACATCGAGTTTTTATGAGTGTTATGAAAATTTTAAGCGTTGAAAATATCCTATTAACTTTTGGCGGTATGAAAA